CGCGGACCACGTGGAACGGGCGGGAAAAAGGCCGCGGACCACGTGGAACGGGTGAAAATGGCCGCGGACCACGTGGAACGGGCGGGAAAAAGGCCGCGGACCACGTGGGGCGGGCGGAAAAATGGCCGCGGACCACGTGGAACGGGCGGGAAAATGGCCGCGGACCATGTGGAACGGGCGGAAAATGGCCACGGATCCGGTTTGTAAGTCGAGGCGAGTTCGTAAATAGAGGTAAATTTTTGGGGCAGGAGCTGATCGTATCTCGAAATTTTCGTAAGTAGGGGCGTTCGTAAGTAGAGGTACCACTGTACTGGATCCTATGATGTAGCCTTTATAATTAGAGTACATGACAGCATTATATTTAGAAATTGAAACTATTTCTTTTAAATTGAAATAAAAGGTTGCTAGTTTAGATCAAGCTAAACAATAATAGTGAATAATGGGTTCACCATAGAAAACCCAAAATATAAATTATACCTTCCCAAAACCCCAACAGAAACTTTTAATTCTCATTACATCTGTTTTTCAGACATTGGATTTCTTAGATCAGAAGTGGTAAAGTGCGGTCCTCTGGATTTTGCTGAAGTACAGTTCTGAGCAGCCAAAGCTGGCATATCTAATAGTTATGGATGCTGAACTTTGTAATTCAGCAATAGCTAGAAGGTTAGAAGCTTCCCATTTTAGCCTTTTAAAAACAGCCTTTTATGTCTTTTTGATCATAGTAGCAATATCCTAAATCCTAAAGAGCCAATCATAAATTAGGGATAGGAGAGGGTTGTTTTTCCCATAAAAAGCAGTTGTTGTTGTTGTTCAGTCGTTAAGTCGTGTCCGACTCTTCGTGACCCCATGAACCGTAGTTAAAAGATAGCTCTGGCCTGAAATATTCACAATTAAGAAATTTCAGCACTTTTAAACGCACCCATTCAGAAAGAGCAGTTTCTTTTTGCAAAGGTGATTTTTCTGAATCTACCTTTAAAAACTGCTGATAGTCAGGTGTCAGACCACTTTAATGTAAAAAGCTCCATATGTTGCTCAGGATACATAGCTGGTTCAAAACCATTTTTCTGGCTTCCCAGCTGAAACCTTACGAAACTTCTTTTACGTTCAGTTGAGAATTTTAGAGCTGCTGGAAGGTATTTTATTTTTCTTGAGTCGAAAGAAGATAGTAATAGCCGGTGAGTTCCTTTGGACATTTACTGAAGCACAAATAATTAATAATGCGCAGTTCACTTTCCTGTAAATTGGTATATGAAACCTGAATATTTGAAGCATGCTACTGCTTGATGCAATGCCCCTGGAAACTCCAGGGCCTTTTTCTGTTGTGTTTTGTTTTGCATTTTCATACAGTGCATTTTCTCAATTGATTGGTAGTAAGTGATCCCTCCAGAGCCAAAGCATTTGCTGCTCTCCTTAGACCCTCTGAGGTTTGTGATACAACTACTGCATTTCCTGTATATAGCAGCATTCTTACAGAGGGAGTTGGCTAATTTGGGGAAATATTTGTCTTCAGTTAAATACTCCACTCTTGATTTGGTGTAAAATTGAGTAATAATAGGGCAAGAATGCCTCCTTGTTTAACTTAGTTTCCAGTTGAAATGCTTCTGAGAGTTACCATATTAAGTTTACACATTCCCACTAGATTGGCATTATTGTGTAATGTTTATACGAAGGTAAGGAGGCAACGATCCATTAAGGAGACTTTGAGTTTCTGCAGAAAGATTTTCCTAGATATTAGGTGGAAATCCTGATTAATATCACAGAAGGTAGTGTACAAACCTGTTTTAGGTTACTGTTTTTCAATCAGATGATTAAAGCATTAACTGGGGTATAGAGTGGATGGACCTGATCTAAAGCCTGTCTGCTTTTCTGCCAAGATATTCTCCTAAAATATTATCTGAGCCGCCAGTTTTAAATTTTTAAAAAATATATGAAAAACACGAAAAGCCCATGTTAATGAAGACAAAAGGGTAGTTTTCAGTATGTCTGTGCTCTTGTTTCTTAGTACTGTATATAAATAAATGGTTCTCATTTACCTGACTTGTAAATTGTCTTTGTGAAATCTGTACATAAAACTTGGTTTGTATAGTTCTTCAACAAGGGCTCAGCTTGATTACACGATAATGACAAAACATACAGCTTTGTCTATTTATCATAATTACTAGTTTAATTTTATTTTATATTTTCTTAGAATCTATTTATCGTAGGGGTGCACGGAGATGGCGAAAGCTCTATTGTGCAAACGGTCATACTTTTCAAGCCAAGCGTTTTAACAGAGTAAGTTTTAATAGAATTCATTGCTGCTTTCCTCTCCTAATATTTATAGTTTCACTTTCTTAAATAGACTTTGTTGTTTTGTGGTGTTTGATACCTGTTTCCTTTTATTTAAGTACTGGTGCTGAGAAAATAGACTTTAAAAGATCAAATTCACTTTATCAGCTTTTAGCACAGAGTTTATTTACTTTTAATATAATACAACTTTATCAATAAGGCTTTTTATTTTTGATAACCTTGTGATTTTCAACCAAAGGTGCTACTCCCAAATTGTCTTAAGTCCTTAAAAGGGAAGAAATACCTAGCAAGTACTTCTGCAGAACTGAAGTATCTGTTACTTAGTTCCAATCCTCCAGTGGGCTGTACACATATACCAGTGATTATTGTATATCCAGTATATGCCCTTAGCAGCTACAAACCATAAAGGATCGTGACAACTAATAAACATTTATATAATGCTTTAGAAGCATCAAAATCACTTCATGAACAGTGATTGCATGTGGCTTACATCATTGTTCATGCTGTTTGCTGTCACCTTTGCAACATGAGGAAACTTCTGATAATATTTTTCCTAATTTATCCATAACATGGCTATCAACTTCAGAAAGAAACAAAATAGTCAAATGAATTGAACCTATAATTGAACATCATAAAGCTGGGAACCATAACTTCCTGCTTTGGAACATAACGGCAAACTTTGGCAAATTGGAGTCTTAACTTAAGGAGACCAATTTTGGATCAAACAAAGCAACTTTTCTAGCCTATCATCCTATTCTGAGAAAATTCTAACTAGGTATGTATGAAAGCCCCAGTGCAGAACATTAAGTCCAGTGGCATGCTCTCGTAGTGGTTCTAAATTTAAGGAGAATATGGCCATCATAATAGAGGCTATTAGCAATTTTATCCACCTCCACAAAGGAGAAGGACATGGATAAATATTGTTATCTGAACTGGCATTTTTTAAGGCTGATTACAAACCTGGAAACTAGGAAATTGATTCAGAGGAGAGATTGAAAACCAAGGCACCTTGAGAGTCAGCTCAGCCTGTTTACCAGCAGAGAAAAGCCAAGTTGACTACATAGCTGCAAAGAGAAGGCAATATCTCAGCATTTGTTCTCAAAACAATATTGTTGGAAGTATTTTAAGTAACTGTCAGATGCCAAATACATAGTATGACATAGCTGAAACTAGAGTAAAGTCTTGTGATTTCCACAAGAAGGAAAAAGTGGTGGTGTTTTCCTTGTGCTAGCAGCATTAAGACCTGAAAAAGGAAATGTAAAAACTGCCAGACTATTGTACTAGGTAAGATAGAAATCCACTTAGAGATCAGGAGCCCCATAATCTTAGTTTTCCTAGTTCATCACTTAGAAGACATCATTTAGAAATGGACTCTAGGCCCAGTCAAGTTTATGTCATAATAATCTTTTAAGTTCTGCAAGACTTTTTGTTTTTGATGCAATGCATTAACACTGCTGTCAGTCTGGAAATTAAAATATGCGAACATCTGTCTAAATTACAGTATGGTTTATTTGTTTGTTTAGCATGATGCTAAAACATAGTCATTGCGATATATAATTATGACTACAATCAGTGTGTAAATCTGACATTGTGGTTCATTCAACAAACTACTGTCCTTTCTCATATTGTTAAAATAATTTACTTTGGTTTTTTATGATTATTTTTTCATCAACAATATATTGAGTACTAACTGTGCAATCTTGGTAATTCTTTTGTCCACTTACTGATACTATATTTATGCATCAGCTATTTTTTTTTCCTTTTTCCTTTTTTCCTTTTCTCCTTTTACTTGTTCGTTCACTTTTTCCCCCTTTCTTCTTTTAAAAATGATTAACAAATACATTTTTAAAAACCCTACCATTAACCCAGCCATAGGTTAGAATGGTATATGAATATATTAAACCAACCAGTGGGCATTATATATAGATATAATTGGGGAAGCTAGGGATATTTTGAAAAACATTCAGAAGTAATAGAAAATGAACACTTGTAGAATATAGGATGCTTAGCATAGCTTCAGAATATAGGGAGTACTATAACCTGGAAGAAAATAGAAAATTAACTAAAACAAAACAGTGGTTAGTGAAGAACAAATATTAGGAATTATATAGTAGGCTCTTGGCATATTTCCTATGTAATATAAAATATGTAAATAGGGAATGTGAAATATATATGTAAAATATTACATAGGGAAGTAAGCAAAGCAGAGAATAGGAGTTAAGTGCAATTCCAGACTGAGAGCTAATATCCAGATACTATTTATGATTTTTTTTTTCCTAGAGAGCTCATTGTGCCATCTGTACTGACCGAATATGGGGACTAGGACGCCAGGGATATAAATGCATCAATTGTAAACTTTTAGTTCATAAAAAATGTCATAAACTTGTCAGCATAGAATGTGGCCGACATGCTCTACCACCGGTAAGTAAAATTGATAGTTGTAATTTCCTCAAGTGTATGTGTGTTTGCATGTATATAATATATATAATGATACAATGAATACTTTAGTATGACATAATCAAGGCTTGAAATCTGTTTTTTTTTTTTTTTTGCCTGCTTACAAAAATCATATTTGTTGATTTCTCCTATTCTATTGAAGCATTTTTGTGGACATTTAAATATTTGAATGATGTCAGTATACGGGTACTTTATTTTAACTAAACCATTTCTGATGAAAGTATTGTATAGCCTGATCTCTTCAAATTTTCTTGGAAAATAGTGAAATTTACTCCAAAATAAATTAACTGCCTCTTTCCAGAAATGGTAGGAGATTGAAAAGTTATGATCTTATACTTTCACTTTCACTTTTATTTATATATTTTGTAGGAGCCTATGGATCATTCCTCAGTGCATTCTGATAACATAGAACCAGGTAACTCACTTTTCTCATATAAAAAATAGCTGAAGTTAAAAAAAGTTTCTCCATCTGCATAAGTATTTCTATTTTCACCAAGAGGTTATTATTTTAAATAAGAAGCTAAAATTTCTTGTCTTATTGCTGATGGTTATCTGTGTATTTTATATACAGATATCTAAAAGGGCATGTTCTGTTAAACCTAATGTTTAATATATAATTTGGAATATAAATCTAGTAAATAAAAGATGTAAAAGGTGTCTTCACAGTCTGTAATGAATGTAGGAAAGACCTTGGGAGACGGGGTGAACAGATGCTGCTTAGGGAACTGCCAGATAAGAGACAGCACAGCCTGCAGCTGGAAAGTAACTGAGGCAAGAGGCTCAGAAGGGACCCTCCCTAATTTCTCAGGCTGTAAAAGAAACAGTGGGAGAATTGTACTTTCAGACTTGCAAGATGTCAGCCTTACCAGGTAGACCAGACAGGAAACACAGCCAGATAAGCTAATTCTACTTCATAATAAAGCTACATTAACAGAATCTTGCAAACCTGAAAGTGCAATTCTCCTCCGTCTCCTTTATAGCCTGAGAAACTAGGGAGGGTCCCTTCTGAGCCTCTTGCCTCGTCCACTTTCCAGCTGCGGGCTATGCTGTCTCTTATCTGATTGTTCCCTAGACAGCATCTCTTCACCCCATCTCCCAAGGTCTTTCCCACATACCATTACACAGTCACAGAAAACCAAATAAAATTATTATTTATATAATACATTTATAAGCCCACCCATCTCATATGCATGACACTGGGTGACTAATGATTAAAATAAAATAAAAGTAGTAAAAACATAAATAACATAGCACAGCATAAAATAAAAGTAGTAAAAACATAAATAACATAGCACAGCATAAAATAACAGCTGAGAACAATCACAACAGCTCCAGGCTTGTCAGGAAAGCCAACTTTTTAATGCCTTGCAAAAGGCAAGCAGGGTTGGGCCAAGACTGATCTCGGGAGGAGGGGGATGATGTTCCAAAGGGTTGGTGCCACAGCAGAAAAGGCCGTCCTCCTGGGTCCTACCAGATGCCACTCTCTCATGGATGGGACCCAGAGCATGCCTCTCCTGCTGGATCTAATAGGATGGGTAGACACCACTGGGGAAAGATGGTCCCATAAGTAACCCAGCTCCAAGCCATGAAGGACTTTAAAGGTAACCACCAGCATCTTGAATTGCATCCAGAAGTATAACTGCTGCCATTGCAACTTGCAAAGCAGAAATATCACATGTGCTGAGTGACAGATACCCATAACTTCCCATACTACCACATTTTGCACCAGCTGAAGCTTCCAGATACTCTTCAAGGGCAGCCCCATGTAGAGTTCATTGCATTAATCCTGTCAGGTTCAGCCCAAGAATCACAACAAGACAGTCCAGAAATCAGCTTAGCTTCTTTATTAGCTTGCACCTAATAGGCAGAATCTCGCCAGACTAATCCCCCAACGACAGCAAGTATAAACATCATGCCCTTAGGGAGGGGTCAGTCTCTTTCTCTTGACTTTCACACAGTCCAGCTGGGGGCTGAGGAGATGCTTGCCTTGAAATGTCTCTCCTCCCTCCCTGTAACCTTTGAGCTCCATTCCCAAATCCTTCCCACTCATGCCTTCCATCACAAATCCAATCCAATTAGCCAGTTTAACACAAAACTTTTGGAAATATTTGCATTTATCTAGAGATCTGATTTTTTTTTTCTTTTCCTTTTAGTGATTCCATATCACCCTTCAAGTCATGAAAGTTTGGATCATGTTGGTGAAGAAAAGGAGGTACTCTAATTCTTTTCTACTTAAATTGTTGGTGCTTTACTAAGTCTGTAAGTGAGAATGCCTTTAATTGGCAGTACTACTTCATGAGGTTACTTTATCACAAGTTGGTGGTAGAGCTGTTGGCTATAAGAATGGTCTAGCATGCATCCTCACTAACTAAAGGAGTCTCTCCACTTACAGGCAAAGAGTAGAGAAAGTGGCAAAGTATCTTCCAGTCTAGGTCTCCAAGATTTTGATCTACTTCGTGTTATAGGGAGAGGAAGTTATGCAAAAGTACTTCTAGTTCGATTAAAGAAGACAGAGCGCATTTATGCAATGAAAGTTGTGAAAAAAGAATTAGTTAATGATGATGAGGTGAGCAATACTTACATATTTCTAATCTTTACATAATGTATTGTCTGCCTGGTGATTTTATTCTCTGCCTTACTTGCTGAAATTGTTCTATGAGTGGGATCCAAACAGAACAGGCGGTTTCATAGTCCCCATGCCAACTTTAGGGTGCTGGTAGATTTCTTGGAGTAAGGGATTGTTTACACAAATGACTGACCTACAACATATATTATGGATAAGCCAGAGAAATGTTTAATGAAGCTACCAGTTTAGTCGCTTAGAGAGTTAATCATTTCTTGGGATTTGTGATCAGGTTTTGTTTCTTTTAGAGCTGCACTTCTGAGATCTTATTACTTTTAGCTATTTTTTCCTTTAACAAAAATCCTGGAAATGTTGTAAACGTAGCTGAATTCTTACAAGAAAAATGCTTTCTCTTATGCATGTCGTCAGAAACCTTGGACATTCAAGTGTAGCTTCTTTGTATTTTTTGACATATTCAGCCTGAATATGCCTGATAATGCATAAACCTATTGGCAAATCTCAAATCATCATATGGTTTCAAGAGATTTGATTGAATACAATGATAGAATGCAGTGGAATAAACACAACGTAAGAATAGTGGGAAATGTCAGGTTATCTTGAATTTGCACTGGTGTATAATGTTGGAAACCTAGAAAGAGTCCTCAGTGGTGCCCTAGGAATTCATGGAGAATTGCTACATGTGGAGATAAACTACACGATTTTCCACTTTGCTGTTTTAAGAATGGATATTACTGCTTATCTCCTGTTTGATAATCAACTTTAAGTAGCTGGTTAATTGGCATTCACCAGAAAATATTGCAAAGGCAAGTATTTTGTGTATGTTCTGTAATAGGATATTGACTGGGTTCAAACAGAAAAGCATGTCTTTGAGCAAGCATCAAATCATCCTTTCCTTGTTGGTCTTCACTCATGTTTCCAGACAGAAAGCAGGTAAACTACCCAGTAAGATTTTTTTGCACATATATTTCTATTCTTTTCATAAGAGATCATTAACATTTTTTAAAAATAAAATGTTGCTTTCATTTTACTTGAATAATTGCATCATTACTTAACTGCAAAAGTGATTTTCAGAAGAAAGGTGATTAAACAAGGAAATTATCCAACTAATTAAGAATATTGTCACATAAAACAACATACAGAGGGTTTCTAAGATGGAGAGATGATAATAGATGTTTCACGGAAGGACCATTGATAGCCTAAGGAGAAGGAGGAAACCTACATTGTGAAGAAATTGTTTGACTATAGTCTTATAACAAGCTAACATAGAATAACCCAATGAGAATTCTGAATAGGTTTGAGTTTGTTTTTACATAATAGTATTTGGAAACTTCAGATATAGATTACATAGATTACAATAATACAAAAGTTTAAAAAATGGCTTGAGTGTGGAAAAACTGATCAAGAAGTGATGATGTGAACAAAGTAATGTAATAAGTAAATGTCCCTTTGAAAATAGAACTGCTTATATGGAACAGATGCAGCATTCGATGCTAGGATTAGAAAACCTGGTAAAACAGAGTGGAAAGCAAAAAAAAAAAGTAGGTTGTTACATAGTGATGAAGAATTTTGAGGATAAATTCTCACTGAAATTCTCTAAGGAAGGTTTAATAAAAAGAAATAATTAATCCTGAGGTATTTAGGATTGGTTGGCATTTCCCCTATTTTCTACCCTCATTATCAAACAAAAAAAGTAAGAGGGGAATTAATAAACAAAGCATGGTCATATGGGAAAAAATCTTACATGTTAGTAAAGAATAAATACATTTTATAATGAATGGTAAGGGAGTAATATTGTGGGAACTATGGATTCTTAAGATAAAGTGATAAGAAGGTAAATGATGATAACAGGATATATGAGAATTATCCATTATATAATCTCTCTTTGTGATTCAGGCTATTTTTTGTTATCGAATATGTGAACGGAGGGGATCTCATGTTTCACATGCAGCGGCAAAGGAAATTGCCAGAAGAGCATGCCAGGTGTGTGCTTCTTTAATGTGAATTTTGCAGATTGGTTAGTGGTTAGAGAGAATACAAATGTATCCGAGTGCAGCATATTGTTTTTTTCCTCAGCATGTTTTCTTCATCACTCTCCTTTTTGTAGGAGTTGAACAAACTCCTTGTGCTTATTCTTTCCAGCTTGACTGAGAAAGGGGAGAACAATCTCTCTCTCCCTCTCCCTCTCCCTCTCCTTACATATTCATATTTTTTCTAGATTAGTTTTCTTTGACTTTCCAAGAGTATTTTTCGAATGTGTCAGGAGCCACAGATTGATTTCTCCAGGCCCAGTGGATTCAGTTCTGCCTCAGACAGTCTCCAAAACTGCTAAGGAATTGATAGTAAACTATTTAACTTTTCTTGTCACTCAAAGCCAATAAAGTAGCAATTACTGTTAATATGTAATTAACAATAATTATCACCGCTACTACTCCATGCAATTATTGGTGCTCAGCTGAAACCTGGTGGCGTCTAGCTGGTACCAGTAATTATACCTGTCTTCTTCCAGCTTTCTCAGAGAACAGCATATAAAGCAAACCTTAAAAAGTAACAAGATGAGCCGTGGAAATAATTCCTGCATCTTGGACACAGAGGATTAGTAGTGAGGCAGTCGGGATTTACTCTAAGCACAGAGCTGGTCTGATGCAAAATATGGAAATTCGTGGTAGTTTTAAACAATCTTGAAGTAGATTGCAAATGTTTACCTTGCCCCATTTCTGGAGCTTCCCATCTAATAGGTTATTCAGGAGCTGTGTGTTTTGGATGATACCATGCTCCAAAAAGGTGCTCTGAGAGGAAAGAATAAACATTTTCACTTTTCTGTGAAAAATGCCTTGGTGGGCAGGGCAGGAATCCATCCAAATTTCTGGAAGTGTATTTAAAAAGAATGATTTCATTTTAGGTTTTACTCGGCAGAAATCAGTTTAGCTTTAAACTATCTTCATGAACGAGGAATAATTTATAGAGACTTGAAACTGGACAATGTATTGCTGGATTCTGAGGGACATATCAAGTTGACTGACTACGGCATGTGCAAGGTGAGTCGCAAAATCTCCACATGTTGAAGTCTGAGTGTTTCTAGATAAATGCCTTTTGATCAGAAACTACTAGTTTTGAAAGTTTAAAAATCATTAAAAGGCAGTAAAACCTTGGTTTTCTGGATCTCCATTTAGTGGAGTAGATGACAAAATTTTCCTGTGGACTTCACCCCCAAAGTTGTCATTGCTTGGTGTCACTGGTTGGTGATAGTTGACATACTGTAATTTATGTCTTTTACGTCATTTGCCTAATGTTTTATTTGTACCAATGTATGTCATTTGTATAAATGATGTAAAAATGTCAATTATGTAATTACATTATGTGACATCAGCTATGTCAGTCAGAAAAATTTGGTTTTAATGGACACCTCTTTGCCCCAGATGGTTGGTTCAACTCAAGTTTTCCTTGAATGAGTATTAATGTACTACAGGCATCTTGATTAAACTATGCTTTCTCAAGTTATTCATAAGTAATATCAAATAGGTATTTCCTGGATTGGGAAAAATGCAAGCTTGTTCCAGCCTGGAATTAAATTTCACAGAGATTCCAAACATAAGCACTTACTCATTCCTATATTTTGTTCTGAGATTTCTTTTCCTTAAGCACTGAAATTGCAGTGTTGTACAAATGCATCAAACAATATTGTATAATTTTGGAAAACAGTGGCTCAGGAAATAAAATGAGAAAGATTATGATAAGAAGGCCAATAGTTGGAGAGCAGAATAAAAACCTTGTTCAGAATGTTCATGTATGTTTAAAATGATGAAAGTGTCCATACTGGGCAAGATGGAAATTTAGTACAGATCATTAGGAAATTTGTTAGCGGTTGCATGCCTTTTTTATTTACAAAAAGCAACCAAAATGTCCATATCCTAAGTCTTGCCCTTGCTAGAAAGTAAATGCAGTTTTTGTATTCCTAAGATGAATTGGAAGCAGAAGATATGCTTGAACTGTGTAAGATACTTTTTTCCTTGTTTCCATTTTAAAAGGAAGGATTAAGACCTGGAGACACCACCAGCACTTTCTGTGGCACTCCTAATTACATTGCTCCTGAAATTTTACGTGGAGAAGATTATGGTAACTCTTACTCCTGTCAAACTCATATTTTGTAAAACATTAGGGGTTAATATCCTAAACAAGTGAGGTTTCAACCAAGCATTGTTGTGCTTTCCATGATCAGTAAATGGCATTCACTTTGGAGAATCTTTCTCTGAATTCTAGTCTTGCCATCGATCAAAGCATGATCTTTCAGAGAAAGATGTTTTGATCCTGCTCTTATTTTTTAATTACATTTATGTTTCACTTTTCTGTTAGGAGCTCAAGGCAACATACATGGTTCCTTCTCCCATTTTATTCTCACAACACCCTTGTGAGATGGTTTCAGTTGATTCTACCAAATATCATGGAATCTTCTGCAGCTTATTCTTACTGATTTAATTTTTATAATTAAAATTAAGTTGAATGATAGAATTTGCTATCTAATTTGATCTTGCCTTTTTTTAAATCCCAAGATATAAATGTTCCTATGTCTTCGGTAATCCATATGGTCAGAGTTTTATTTAAGTCCTATTTATAAATAAATTTGGTTAGACAGCAATACATCAAACCATATGCTGTGTTCTGTGTTTATTGGACACGCTGAGCCAACATTGTCTTGGTTGGGAAGAATATGTGAAACACTAGGATAAGCAGCTCTCTTAAGGGAATACATTGAGTAGACTTTCCAATCCGTACAGTGACAGTCAGTACAGGTTCTCCCCTGTAAAAGAGCCATGTGTGTAGGTTGTCACCAGTGGAGTCAACTTTTCATGATACAGATTTATGGAAGTGAATTGTCAGTCCTAATGACGCTGGAAAGGGTTACTAAAATATTCCGTACATGGTCTGGAAGATAGTGTACAAATGAACATACAGCATTGTTGTTAATTTTCCAAGGAAAATTCGGCCAGCAAAATTACCGCAAGACATCAAACACTCTGAAGGTTGCAAAGATCCCTGGAATAACATCAGAGGTGCTGCAGGGCACGCTTGCATTACCTGATGTCAACGTTCATGAGTCCATCATAAGGAAAACACTGAAAAGTGGTGTGCATGGGAGCATACCAAGGAAGAAACCACTGCTCTTCAGAAAGCACATTGCTCCCTGTCTTACATTTGCCAAAGAGCAACTAGGTGACCTAGTAGAGTCTTGGAACAATGCTCTGACATGAGACAAAAAGTGGCTTTTGCAGGGGGCTGTAACAAAGTGTAAAATAAAACATGACATTCCTACAAAAGAATCTCACCCTAAGTGAATTATGGTCAAGGGAGTATCATGATTTGGGATTGCTTGGCAGCCTCCGTATCTAGGCAGCTCCTGGTCATTTAGGGAACAGTGCTTTCTTGATTGTACCAGTATATTTTACAGGAGAATGTCATATATGTCTGTGAGCTGAAGCTTAAATAAATGCGGGTCATGCAGCGTGACAAAGAAAGTGAATGTTGACTATGTTCAATAAAATCATGACACAGGACACTGTTTTGTGTATTGTTGCTTTAACCAGAATCTACTTGTCTATTAATGAGACTTAAATGAAGCTCTGATCATAATACTGTAGGATTACAGATAATTCTAAAGAATTCACAAACTTTCTGTCACCATTGTAAGCCTTTATGCTCTCAAAACCTTATTACATTATGCACAGAGGAGCATATTCAGCCTTTCACCGAATTCAACTAAAGTCAGCTTAGGAAAAAAGAAACATAAGAAATATCCAGTGCATGCATTAAAACAGTGCGTTAAGCTAGGCTAAAATAAAGTTGGTAGTTAGGTTTAGTTTTACTGGGGAAATCCAGCCATTGTCTTAATATTGTCTAACCATTGTCAAACAAATATGGCTTATTTGTTTGGGGAAATTATATTATGTGAATCCAGCAGTTGTGTGTGTTAGCCCAAGTTCAGTGTATTATGTAAACCCAATTTATGTCATTAATGAAGGCCTAGTTGTCAAAATAAGTGTTTTGCAATCTTACATTGTTTCAGGCTATAGGTAAGAGGAAAAACACCACTCATTAAAACAAATACTGTATGTGTGTGAATATGTATAAAATCTCAGTTTAGCTTTGTTGTCAAGAATGCCAGCTGAAACACCCCCTGCCTATGATTTTACATTTTATGTTTCTGGGGAGGGGGGATATCTTCTGTTAAAACAGAATCAGGTTTTCTCAGAATTTTTGAGAGAATCAGAAAACTGGTAGATGAGATTGGAGGACTTTTGAATTCCTTAGTGTGTAGGCGACTACAAAATCCTTGTAGCTTAATTTAAGCTCTTAATTTAACTGTATTTACTGCATTATCATAATATTTTTAAAGTAAATATGTTGATTTGATCTAACTCCTTAAAATGTTATACTGTCTTCCTCCAAAACTTAGGATTTAGTGTGGACTGGTGGGCTTTAGGTGTCCTGATGTTTGAAATGATGGCGGGAAGATCTCCGTTTGATATTGTTGGAAGTTCTGATAATCCTGATCAAAATACAGAAGATTATCTCTTCCAAGGTTAGTTACTCTAAATGGCTAGTATTCAATGAAGTAAAAGTAGTTACATGGTATATAGCAGATCCTGCCTCTTGATTTTCATTTCCATTCATATTTGCTGAAAATATATGTGTAATTGCTTAATATACTTAAAGCACCATAGGAGATGCAAATAAATTATTTGTGGCTGAAAGAAAACATATTCCATAGATAGCAACATAGAAAGAGGCTAATTCAAAATTAATAAAAAGACACTGTGTGGCATTAAAAAATTGTCTGGTTTAACAGAATAGATAGATAAGAAAGATTACATCGTTGTTCTTGAAAGAAGGCAGTGGAAGACCCCTTGCATGTTATTGCCAAAGAATCCCTACATGGCTGTGTCCATGAAGTCACCAAAAATTATACTTAGTTTGAAGGGGACTTTGACTCTGGCCCCTGGACATATCTTGAGATTGCTAAACTTATGAAATTTCAGTGCCCCTAATTATCTCTTCTAGTTATCCTGGAGAAGCAAATCCGTATCCCACGGTCCCTTTCTGTGAAGGCAGCAAGCGTTCTAAAAAGCTTTTTAAACAAGGTGAGAGTCTGTGCCATGTCTAGTTTAAAATTCCACGGTTAAATCTACATCTTACAGTTGCAGAGTTGAGAGAACAGTCTTTAGAAGAACCAGTGCCAGTGTCTGTTGTGGGAGCAGTTTAAAAGTATTTGCCCAGAGGTTTCATTTCATTTCAGTCTGTGTTTACTTGGAAGCAAAACTCACTGATGGAATCTGCTCCTAATTCAAGCATGCGTAAGATTGTAGTTTAGTTCTTCCTCTGGCTGCTTAGAGCCAGACTGAGAATGATGCTTGGCCCTGCATGGATGATTTGTGTTTAACATTTAATGGTATCGGGTAGAAGGGTTCCAATCAAAACCTGCCTCTTCTGCATGCTGTTTGCAATGGAAGAAAGCCAGTCTACTTCATGCCTCTTTGATCTTAGTTTTTGATTATTTGTGTGGCTCCCCCATATCCAGGCAAGGAATTGATTAGAGAGGCCTCCATAACCCTATCAATACCATCACCTATTTTTCAATGCAGGAGAAATGCAGTATTTTAGAGAGATCTTTCTGAACTATCATAGGTCAAGTGGAATGGCTGGTGAATAGAGGTAGACTTATGGGTTGGAGGTTCACGATCTCTGGGTACTTGTACAATTTCCTAAATTGAATAGTTACATAAAGTAGTAATTGATTGTTGTGTTAGAATTAAGGGTGAATAGCTTTAAAAGAAGAATCAGTAGCTTAAAAAATTAGACATTTATCATTCATCTCATTGATAATCATATAAGCATAATGAAAAGTTATACAAAGATCTCCCCTTTGAAGAAATCATAATTTTTCAAGGCTATTTTAACAGGAACATTACCTAGCTAAGAAATGGAAGTACAAAGATGGCATGGGGTAACAGCAGTAAGTTGTAAGTGAATTTGCCTTTATATTATAGGCTTATAATTGAGACATAACTTTAATCTGCAATTAAATGATACAAATGTACCAGCTGTCAAGCTTTGGTATAAGAACAGCAAAAAATAAACTTGTGATTCAGGGCATTGTCTGTGTGAAAGCACATGATGCCATAGGTTTGCTAAAAGTTAAATGGGTCTGGTTATAGATAGTAACTCTGCAAGAGTCCTATGTATCCACTTCAAAAGTACTCATTTAGCTTTTATTATTCAACTATATGTTTTGTTTTTTTTCGTTCATAGGATCCAAAAGAACGTTTAGGATGCCATCCTCAAACAGGGTTTGCAGACATTCAGGGACACCCATTTTTTCGAAATGTTGATTGGGATCTGGTAAGCATCTGTGGCAATACTGTTTTTAACAGCTTTAGATGCAGTGGATCTTCGTAATAGTGGATCTGACTATTTAAATCAGTCAGTTTCTGATACTGATAATAAAAAGTTGTTAAACACTTTGAGATTTCCCCACATAGTTGCCCTTTGATATTGCCATGTAGAACTCAGTAAGAGTCATATAAATCATTTATGTAAGGATCTGAGGAAAAGACAAAAGAAATTCAGGAGGAGGAAGCTGTTACATGAGGTTGTTTAGATTTTTCCTACATTTTTAAAAGAATTAAGAAATACTTCCTTTTTTAACACCAAATAAAATAACTATGACAAAATATTAACGCTGTTCAGTTTCCCAAAATTATTTCTAAAATCTGTGCACTACCTAATTCTTGTGCTGAGAATAAGCAGTATTTTGGAAAAAGCCAGAGGAACTTCTGCCATCTGGAGCATGATCATTTACGGGAGGGAGGGAGGGAGGGAGGGAGGGAGGGAGGGAGGGAGGAAG